ACAGGTAGTTAGAGTTAACCCAGTCAATAACCTGCATTCTTAACATGTCTCTAATTTGAAAAGTTGTACAGTTTTTCGGTTGTTTTTTTAAACCTTTTTTCCTTTTTTTGTCTTTGTTACTATTTTTTTGCGTAAGTAACTTGTTGAAATACCCTGTGCTGAGAATTTTATATTGTACCAGAATATAATATTGAATAAAGCCATTAATAATAATATTGGTAATAATAATAATAAATAATTATTATTATTTAATGTAAGCTAGCGAATGTTAGATTTAAATGTACTGGTTACCTAAATATAGTAATAGAAGCTTGCCTGTTATGTTCTCCCATTCGGACTCAAAACTGAGGATAGAAACAGGGATAAATATCCATGATGCAATATGAGTTAAGATTATCTCGACTTCAATTCAATATTAATCGTCCCAGTAAATGCTTAACATTGGTCACAGTTTAGGACACTGAGCTATAGCTGAAATTTTACAAGCGTGTTAGAGAAAAATCACTTCAGGATTCTGATTGATGAATAATCTCGGATATTAACTAACCTTTAGCCATAACTATCCCTCATAAGCCAGTGGCTGAGGAATTTTCGGAATTCATACAATAAGCTCATCTGGTCACTTCGTCGAATATGAGTAAGTAATCAATTAATAAGGTCGATGCACACTTATTTCAGAAACGCTGTCAACATCTACTGAAATGTTATTAAATATAGATTACTGGCGATCAGTCGGTACGTAAATGACTTTTCATTGTTACACAAGATTTCGCTATGAAGCGGGTTCAATTGACTTTAAACTAATTATTTAGCATATCAACTAGAATATTCAATTCATTTTTTGAAGTAGATGTATGAGATAACATGAATGGGGTAATAAGAATAACAATCAGTTTCTAAGTTCCAAAAGTTGAAAGTAGACTCTTTATTGAACGTTTAAAGTAATGAACATTCTATTGGCCGTAAAGACAAAGAAACAGGCAGTAAATATATGGAATTTCAAAACCTTAAAAATTGAATTCCCCATTTCGTTACTCGCCTTTATTAATATACGCTTTTTCTGATGGATAACATTTTGATGGTTGTCCTTACTTATAAGCTCTCTTATTAATGTGAATTGAGGAAGAGAAGTTAAACCCAGGGATTTTAAGTACATTGTACTTAATTAAATAAGTGAACGGTGGCAAGAAATGACAAAATCGATGACAAACAGTAGTTTATGTTTTTTATAACTACAGAAATAAACATACATCGGAAGCCAATGAAGACAGTGGAGAAGTAGAAAAGGTTCACACTAACAAGGGCTTGAGAGAAAGAATGAGCGAAAATAGATGTCACTGAAAAGGGAGCTGTGGTGTTGTCTTGAGCTGACTTCCTGTATTCTGTTTACTCATGCAGTAGAAAACATGGATGGAGGTTTATTACCATTTAGCCCTTTTTCCCACCCTCTGCTTTATCAATCAGTTATAATAAACCATTGAAATCCCTGGGGTTTTCTCCTTTTTGCCTGTTATGTCATAGGCGTTGTGTATAACCTCAACGTTCCGATCGATTCTTTCCTCTGCCTACCTTTCTAATAGCTCTCAACCAATGGATGCTTAAGCAAAGGTCTGTTACAGGTTTTAAAAAGGTAGCCCCAACAATCGAGCTAACTGTGCGCTTTCCGCCGGTGTTTTCCTTTCTCTAAATTCTCCCGGGCTCAGACGACAACCTCGGAAACTATTAGGGAGTTAAACCATAGGCTGGCGATGGTTGCATACAAGCAATACCATTTCAATTTTCTAGTAACTTACGAACTTCCATATCGTATACCTACTAGAAAATGCTCCCTGGGTACTATTTCGACTGTAAAGTTCTGGCAACGTTTTTCTCTAGAATTAACTGGTATCCACTGTAGAATCATCATGCAGCTCTTGGTGTCTGTCTGTGGCTTACACCATGTTAACAGATCATACCTGTTATGAACGGGGAATTAAGAAGCCCAGACAATTACGGAAGCTATTTTCTTGGGACGTTATTGCATTTCATTCAAACCCTGTAAAACACTATTTATTTTTGTCCCTATCTTATTCTACATAACACGAGCTTTCGTTCTATGTATCATTCACTAGCATACTCTTTTTTGTTCCGAAAATATTGTAATTTAAACATAATATTTTGCACTGTATTTTCTACCCTAATTCCCTGTTTCGAGCATAACTGTATTTTTCCAAATTATCGTACGTCGTGGTCAAGATATTCACTTATTTATTCATGTACATTTTTGTACTAACCCGAATTCAGAGAATCCAGAGTTCAGTGTTCCAACTGTCTTGTCTTCTCTCACTGGCGTGCCTACCAACCAATCAGGATTTAGAATAGTTCTCTCTACCCCATCTCGAACTCACGCGTGATAGACTCAAGGTTAAGCCGCTCACCCTATCGCGTCAAGGTCATAGTATAGTCTAGACAGATCAAGGTGAAGTCATAACAAGTATCACGGGGTAAAAGCGATTCAAGGTCATAACAATACCCGATAAGTAAACTTCATTATGTCATTCACCCCATAAAATATCTGATCCAGATTGTTCATTTCACCTTCTCATAAATATTATATTGCCCTCACAGTTTTCATGACAGCAGTTTTTGCCATTAAAAATCCTGCGTTTGATGCAGCTGCAACATATGTTGACATTGTCGCACCAGTGTAAAAAATGATGTCGACCACTCCCGTGTCTTCTAAACCCACATCATTTTCCCTTGAACGATCACACTAGTAGCAGACAGGTTATCACTAATAAATTAGCACTGCCTACTTTCATCACACATGACATTACATAGTAGGACTCAATCTGTTTAATTTTGCTGCGGCTCAGGCACGATAGTCTCGCCTCCATTCACCATTTATTGACCTGTAGTGGATATTGGCACACATTTTCATATGATTAATTGGGTTTAGAGCGGACAGCATCACAAAGGTTTAATAACACTTTTCTTCGGGGTACTGACAGATTCGACGAATTCGCGATAGCCCTCAGCAATAAGTTCCAGTCCTTTCATCATCTACTCAATGGAGAGGGAACTTCCATGGAGAACAACTGGAAAGGGATCAAGAAGGCAATCACATCAACATGTCATGAGTTTCTGGGCCACAAGCAGCACCATCTCAAGGAATGGATATCTGTTGATACACTGGATAAGATTTATGAAGATAAACCTAATAAACTTATTATTTAAATATTTTTTGATGTACTTTGCATTTATTTTGCCAATTCTCACCATCTATACATTTATCATTATTCGATCGCACTTGTTGTTTAAGTATAGGACCTTGAATACCTACATTCTTCCTTCCGTTTTTGAATCCCGCATAGCATGACATTGTTAACTGCTCATAATTAAATAAACTTTTATACATATGTCTCTCGGTTTATCATGTTTGTGGATATGATAACGGAACGATTAATTAACTATCATCTATATTTATAGACTGTTGTAACATTCACATTACCTTATAGCGTGATATCGAGTCGTGGTTGACTATGAACACCACTACAAGAAAGCGCGTACCAGAAAATCCAGAAGGCGAAGATGGAACGTAACTAGATTTATTTCGTTGACGATCTCGTGGTATCGAATGAATACCGAGATCGTGCCAAAAAATACAAGCGTAATTAGTGGGTGAGAGTACAAGCGTACAAAGTCACAGTTCACATAAAAGTAATGGAGAGTAATAGGGTAGTGATATGGCTGTTTTAGCACAATTAAACAAACAAGCACAGTAAAAGAAACACTGGTAAAATTGGTTATAATAATGATTGTTTCCGTTAAACCCATCGCGTTCTCTTGATAAAAGTAGGTCACTACAACCTTCTACGTACGGATATACTACTGGAGCCATATCGTCTCTTCGGAATTATTATTTACCTATAATTGTGGATTCTGGTACCAAAACCAACAAGACACGCGCCAACCTGCTGATTTAAGTAACGTCCCTAAACTTTTATTTGTGTTATTATCTTATGTGTTGTTTATTGCTACATTAACTTTTGGACGCAATAACTTTATTGCTGTTTTTCGGTTAATATATTTTTGGTCCACCACAGATTCAAGGAAAGACGAACAAGAAGGCAGCAATCAATACCAAACGAACAAGAGCAGAGAAAGCCTAGGCACAATCTGAATACACCAATGTAAACAAGCAGGTGAAGAGAAGCATCAGAACTGACAAACGTAAATATGTGGAAGATCTAGCAATGACGATGGAAAAGGCTGCAAGAGGAAGAAACATGAGACAATTTTATGATACAACAGAGATGCTCGCTGGAATTTATCATAAACCAGGACGACCGGTGAAAAGCAAGAAGGATAAAGTAATCACCAAGACTGAAAAACCACGAAACAGGTGGGTAGAGAACTTTAAGAAACTCTTAAATCGACCAGCTCTACTGAACCCACCTAACATCTAAGCAGTACCCACGGACCTCCCAATTAATGTTGGCCCACCAACAACTGAAGAGACCAGCATCACCACCAGGCAAGTCATGAGCAGCAAAGCAGCAGAACCAGACAGCATCCCAGCAGAAGCACTGAAAGATGTAGTGGTAACTGCAGAGATACTCAACATTCGCTTCAGCAAGATTTGTGATGAAGAACAAGCACCAACAGACGGAAAAAAGGACATGTAATCAAGATATGAAAGAAAGGTGATCTCGGCAAGTGTGACAACTACAGGAGCATCGCTCTTCTCTCAATAACAGGAAATGTTTTCAATAGGTCATTGTTAGACAAAATGAAGGACTTCATAGACTTTGAGACGAACAGGCTGGATTTTGTAAAGATCGATCGTGCATCGATCAAATCGCAACATTACAAATCATTGTGGAACAAACAATTGAATGGATTTCTTCACTCTACATCAACTTCATTGACTACGAGAAAGTATTTGATACAATGGACAGGACAACAATGTGAAAGCTTCTTTGGCACTACGGCGTGCCTCAGAACATAGTCAATATTATACGGAGTTCTCATCATGGATTAAACTGCGAAATGGCGCATGGAGGACAGCCAACGAACTCAATTGAAATGAAGACCGGTGTCAGTTGTGTTGGTATACTATCATCCCTTATCTTTCTCCTGGTGATCGACTGGATCATGAAGACGTCAACATCTGGAGGGAAACACTGGATACAATGGACATCTAGGATGCAGTTGGACGATCTAGACTTCGCAGATGATCTAGCCCTTCTATCCCAAAAGCAACAACAAATACAGGAGAAGACGACCAGTGTAGCAGCAGCCTCAACAGCTGTAGGTCTCAATATATACAAAGGCAAAAGCAAGGTTCTTTGATACAACACAACATGCACTAATCCAATCACAATTGACGGGGAAGACTTGAAAGATGTTAAAACTTTTACATATCTGGGCAGCATCATTGATGAACATGGTGGATGTGATTCACATGTGAAGGCGCGGATCGGTAAGGCAAGAGCAGCATATTTGCAACTGAAGAACATCTGAAACTTAGAGAAATTGTCACCAACACCAAAGTCAGAACTTTTAATGCAAATGTCAAAACAGTTATTCTGTATGGGGCGGAAACTTGGAGAACTACGAAAGCCATCATCCAGAAGATACAAGTGTTTATTAACAGTTGTCTACGCAAAATACTTCGGATCCACTGGCCGGACACTATTAGCAACAACCGACTGTGGGAAAGAACAGAGCAGATCCCAGTGGAGGAAGAGGCGCTGGAATTGGATAGGACACACATTGAGGAAAGCACCCAACTGCGTCACAAGACAAGCCCTCACTTTGAATCCTCATGGAAGACCGAAAAATGCATTACGCCGAGAAATGGAGACAAATATAAGAAAAATGAACAAACATTGGACAGAACTGGAAAGGAAGGCCTAGGATGGAGTGTATTGGAGAATGATGATCGGTGGCCTATCTCCATCAGGGGTATTATGCGTAAATGAGTGAATGATTGGGTTTAGAGAGTTCTGAAGGAAGATTTTGATAATATCATCGTTTCTAGTATTGATAACTGCCATTTTATGTAGTTGAATTGCCACTAAACACATTAGTTTTAATGGGCTCACACAGCTGAAGGCGATCGGTCACACGTCCGCACCAGACCACGAGTGAGAACGCCGTGCTGAACATCCCCTGCAATCGCTAGCCAGATTAGATCAGTGGATCCTCGATATATTGATAGTCAATCAAATATATCCTCAAACCTCCCCGATTCTGGCCATTGATTTTAGTGGGTGGGCACGATTCAGTTATAGAAATTATTACCGGTTGAAGAGTTGTCAAACTACGAATACCTGTGACATCTTCATTGGTGAGTTGACGTGGTCTGGTACACCGACTCCTAAAATGTCTGTTCCCTTTTGGAATTTCATATATCATTGCTTTGCTTTAATGTTTATATATTGTGATATTTTTTTCGTATTTTTGGATATATCATCCCGGTAATTCATATTCTCCATGACGGAACGGACACTTACGGTACTTAAGCCAGAGACTACGAGCACGGCGTAACCGATACCCTTGCACAATTCCTAGCAGTATTCAAGGCACTACCGCCCGAGCTTAACAAGTACGTAACACCTAGTACGTTAATTAGTGGTGTTTCGGAACCCTACGAAACTCTAAAACGTGGAGACCTAACCGATCGACAAAAGTTAAACTAACACCTTAATAATATCGATCTGCACCACGGTTCAGCGACAGACATGTTGTTAAGAATGAGAGAAGCAAATGGTTAAAGAACTTTCGATGATGGCTTATTTCGACAACTTACTTGTCTAAACTCCCTCAACAGGTGCAAGCTGTTCTAGTCTCGTCCCAACCGCATCTCAGAGATTACCAAATCTTTTAACGCCAAGGTTTATTCAGCCAAAGAACAAAATCAAGCGACACAGAATGACATCACGGAACTATGTCAGACGCTGACATGTTACCTCCCAATTCGTAATGACCTCGCAAAGTTATTCACGAAAGCGATCTGTCCATAGACCACAACTGGTGCTGGTGTCACAATCAGTACGGTAAATCTTTTCGAAATTATAGAAAACCCTGCAGTTTTTCGAACCATAAATCGACCAACAAATAAAACATTACGCGTTAACGGCAGCCGTATTCGGCGATCACAGCCGTCTGTTATACGTCACTGATTTGATAACGAAATTTCGCTACCTCGCAGACACGGGTGCAGAAGTTAGTGTTTTTCCAGTGAATTTTAACGATCGACTGCACGAGCTGGTTTTAAACTTATAGATGAAAAACGGAAAACCTATCGCCACATATGGTAAACGGTACGTCTATCTTAACGTGAGTTTACGCGAACCCAAACACTGGATTTTCGTTGTTACAGATTTTTCTATACCAATCATTAGCATAGACCTGCTATGACACCACAACCTACTCATTGATAAGCGCAAATAGAGGTTAGTAGACGGAAACACCAATTTGTCTGTTTATGTCACTTCTTTTTTCGGTCGTAGATTACCACAACCCTATTGCGAAATTTGAAATTGGTAACTGTATTTCACGTGGTCTTGAAATTCATTTGTAGGGTGTATCATACGGAGACCATCATCCTATCGAGTACATTTCACACTGAAACATTTTTTCGACTGACACTTACCAGTTCATATTATTTCTATCGCGGAATTCAATCTTAAATAGATATAAAATTTATTATATACTCATAGTCTCTGATCCTTGTATTTACCGGGTTAATAATTAATAACAACTAATACTCAGATATTATATTTAGTTTAACGAGCTCTGTACTCACCCAGTTTCAAATCATTGCTAATAACTTCAGTAGAACAGAGACAATAATTCTCAAACAATAGTTTGTTACATGAGGCATGCCAGTTTACAGGCAAGATCAAATTGTTACAAATAATACAATATTCACTGTAGTAAATTAATCGGCTGGGTTGATAATTAATAAGATATGAATGTAGATGGATTTAGTCAATATCACACTTGGCGCGCTTCACGAAAGTTGCGTTGCGATGTGCAACTGGTGGTCGAGGATAGATCCATTTTGATTGAGTTTTGTTCTCTGAGTTGGATCGTTTGGCCGTAGAGCTTTCATCATTCTTCTGAACGATATCATCAACACAAACCTTAGATAGAACTGAAGTGTCCGAATTTCTCCATATGCATTTCACAGCTTGTTCTGCACACCTCGACCTTGATTGGTTCTTATTGACCCTAAATTTGTCATTGTTTACTTCCTTGTTTTGATTATGCCCCCATTGGTTTGATTTTCGTTCCTATATTTGTGCATAACTTTCCTGATCAGTCGATAAATTGGATCGATATCAACATGTTTGTTGATTGCTGATTGACCTGAGTGCCAGGTTTCTAAAAATTCTCTGGTATTTTTTGGAATTTCCACTGTCCAAGATTTCTACATTTTTCCAATCGAATGAGTGTCCGCAGTTGTCCACAAGTATCGATTTAAGTGAGGAAATGTCATGGCGTTTGACTGCCAATTGATGTTCATGTAGGCGAAGGTGAAGGGGGTGTCCACTTTGTCCGATCTAGTGTTTTTCGCAGTCGGCATAATTTATTTTTTAGATGATGTTTGATTTGTTTTCCTTTCTTATTTCATCCTTTGGTTTGCATAGGATTGATTGTGGTGATTTTGTCCGTTTGTGTGCGACACCTATTCCGAAGCTTTTCAGCAGTCTCGTTGCTGTTTCTGATATGCCTTTTATGTATGGTAGGGCGGTCCTTTCGTTGATTTCTGTGCTTGACTTTAGTTCTGATCCTGTGTGCTGTTGGTATTTTTTGATGAACTTGACTGGATAACCGTTCTTGTGAAATATGTCCTTCAGGTATTTCTCTTCATTTTTTCGTGCTGCCAGTGTGCTGCAGTGTCTCCCCGCCCTTTTGAACAAAGTATGTACGCAGTTGATTTTATGAGCTCTTGGGTTGTTGTTATTGTAGTTGAGAATTTGATCTGCATGGGTCGGTTCCATGTACACTTGAGTTTCCAGTTTTCCTGTGTCGGTTCTAGTGATTGGGATATCCAAGAATGATAGTTTGTTGTTTGACTCTTGTTCCATTGTGAACTTGCCCCCGAACGCCCTAATACGGCCGAGAGTGGGGAGAGTCCGCTCTACCTCTCGAAATACTCTCACACGGCCGCGCGTATACAGCCTCTGCCAGGAACGTCCTACTCATTGCCTTCTCGTGGCGGGGGTGTTGTTTACGAAAATGAGAGGACGAAAAGCGAATGTCCGGCGCTGTAACCGGATCACAAACCAATGGTGCACATGGGCTCCAGTATCCTGCGGGAACAAATGGCGTATGAACCAATCGTTGGTCACCGGCTACAATGGGATTGCATCTCCTTACGATGCTTCACTGCCTTGTGGGTTAGATCATTAGGTCAAAGGCTCGTGGTGTGGCCCCCTAAGATAACCACCTGCTTCGGTTCGGGCATCCGGGCAGTATCACAGCCCACACACAAACGATGAACTCTATGACTATGGCAACTACTTTTCTCACTCCGATAAACAATCAAACGATTCAAATAATTATCATTACTATTATTGTCATTATTAATACTATTATTATTACCATTATTGTCACTATTATTATTATTATTTTCCACACTATTCACCCTCTTTTATACTTATACAGCGGCTCGTCTTTGGTGGAAATTCGATTGTATCTAAACGTTCTCGAGTCACTGTGTGGTTGAAAATTGTATGTTACCACCGAATACGAGAACTGAAGCAGTTTTTCCGAAACCACGTGCGCCATTCAAACTGGCTGCCTTCAACGTTCGCACACTAGTGCAGGTTTGTCAACAGATAGGGCTGGTTATGTCTTTGGAAAGTCTTAATATTGATGTTTGTTGTCTATCCGAGACCCGTATTCAAGACTCTGTTGAAGTACTACAAATTCGATCCCCATCTGTCGCTTCAAAAAGCTTCTTTTACGTGCGATTATCCGGGGACCCTGTGGCATCTTCGTCTGGTCTTGCTGGCGTTGGTGTCGCACTAAGCGCTAGAGCTGAGGCAGCACTAGTCGATTGGATCCCCATTAACAGTCGGTTATGTGCTGTTAGATTAGAAAGTTCCATCAAAGTGAGAAGAAATCGGCGTGAGAAACGATGTCTTTTCGTCATCTCCGCCCCGACAGATTGCAGCCCGGATGCAATCAAAGATGAGTTTTACCACCAGTTATCTGTTCTTCTCCAGAAAGTGCGTTCGACAGATATTGTAGTACTAGCCGGAGACTTGAATGCTCAGGTCGGGCGTCTAGGCACAGAACAGAGTCGTTTAGGTGGCCGATGGGGACTCGTTGGTCACAGGTCAGATAACGGGGACCGTCTACTGCAACTTTGCACAGACCACAACCTGTTTCTGGCTAGCACTAACTTTCGGCACAGTCATCGCCAATGTGCCACCTGGCGTCCTCCCTCTGCATCCCAAGCCTGGACTCAGATCGATCACATCGCCATCAGCTACCGCTGACGTGGTTGTGTACAATACTGCCACTGTTTTTGGAGTACCTATCTGGACTCTGATCATGCCTTGGTCTGCGCCAATCTTGCCTTACTTTTCAGTGGACAACGAAG